GAAGACGTTACGTAATATATGTATGGGCCGGAGAGGGGTTGATACGGAAATACGGAGATTCTCTGGTTTTTTTTTTGGAAAAAGGGGGCACCGGGGAGGATAAAATGGTGTAGCTGTTGGATGGTAAATGAACAAAGGGGAGTACGGATGGGAGCACGCCAAGGGAGCAGGCAAGCCCCGTCCCTGGTTAGCACGGCTGTTGTTATCGAATATACCCATCTCACATGCAAAATCTTATCCATTGAGGTGGGAGTATGCTATACAGGGAACCCTACTATTTATGAATCTGTAAAGGTCCGTGCGTGTAGGTTTATCGACTATTTATACATGGTAGACCGTTTTGCATTGGCTCCCGAAACTCATGAGTCGGCGTCTATTCCGTGGTCGCTTTGAACGATTTTGCTTACAAACCAACCTCTTGGAAGATCTTATCGGCGATAGCTAGCCGCAAGATGCATGCCACCATCTCATCAGCAAGACAAAGATGCATGTTTCCCGGCTGGTCGGCAACCCGGAGCCCTAGGGTTTGCTGGGAATCGATGCAAGGAGATTTGGTTCGGCTGGTCGCGTCGCACTTGCTGGCCGGCGATTTACTGGATTACGTCCGTTTCCGCGCTGTTTGCGTGCAGTGGCGATCAGAGACTCTCTGCCCGCGTGGCCGTGGCGTCGTCGATCCACGTTTCCACCCGCGTCGCTGGACGATGTTCCCTGACGGTCGTGGCCTTTATCCTGGGCACCCCGAGCTGGGTGACTATGTCCGCTTCTTCAACCTAGACTCAGGTGTCTTTGTCCGCATCCGCCTCCCGCTGTTTGCCAACCATTGTATTCTTGATTCGGTCTACGGCCTACTCCTCCTCCAGAGGGATGAAGACACAGCCGCCCGTCTCCTCCACCCCTTCGCCGGTGACATCGTTGAGCTTCCCCGGCTCACCACCCTGGCCTCACAGAAGCCCGAGGGAGGAGCTTGGCCGCTCGAGCTTGTTGTGATGAGATACATCTCTACTTGTGCTTCCTTTGTTTCAGGAACTGTCACTGTTTTGCTTACCTTCAATGTGTTTGATTATGTGGCTGTTGCTACCTCCCTAGATACGCAATGGACAATGCTAAGTTGGACATGCCCAGGGTCATATATCAATGGACCGCTGCCATTACACGGAAAGATATACGCGGTTCCTGACTTTATCACTCCTAGGAATGGTGCACCACGGATTTTTGAGATGGACGTATGCCACTATCAAGACCCACCAAAGTTGATCTTCACAGGCCCGGTAGAGAAACAACACCTACACTCTTGCCACCTGGTAGAGTATGGTTCGGAGATCTTAGTGGTTGCACACGACGATGCTCAGCTATCCCATATAACAGTTTATAGGCTTGCTGACCTTGTCTTGGGAAAATTCATTGCGGTAACAAACATCGGAGAAAACACTATCTTCATGGGACCAAGGAGTATCTGTGTTTCTTCCAGGGCATTTCCCATGGTCAAGGCCAATACTATTGTGTACTTCCGTCCACAAAAGCACCGTTTTGCGCAATACGACATCGGTCGTCGCACCTGGTCACTAGCTATGGATCAGTGCAGCATAAATGGCCTTGCACAAGGCCCTCGTAGCATTATATGTCATATCTTGACATGCTGCTCTCACCAGCATTGGTATGTACTAATCGTGCATGATAGTGAACACATATGTTATATTATATAAGTACTTGGTTAACTATCGTCGTCGTTTCTTCTCTGTGCTTGTAGAAACAAAGGAGAAGATTACACATACAATGAAACAGGAGATCCATCACCCAAGTGGAAGGTGAAGGAAGAGTTTCGAGCTGGCTCATACGTATGTCAGTCTTACTTGTTCTCCTTGATATATATACCAGTAGCATGTACTCTTATACAGTGCAACATTTTCAAAATTTAGGATGTAGGTCTTCAGCTTTCGTACCGTACGCAACCTACCAAGTTAACCATAAGCTTATGAAAGGATAGCACGGCTCTATAATCTATCGATGCATTTTATACAAAAAGATGGACAAAATCAGTGTTGCGGAATTAATACTACTGCATTCTGTTTTCCCATGGTTATTGATCATACTAGCTAGGTGTGTCGTTGGTATTATCCTTATGTCTTCTTGTTTTCCTCCCAGGCCTAAGTAACATACTCTTAACCAAAGCTAGTGATGGACGACATTCATTCATCCTTGCGATTCGAAGAAGAGAGGAGTTTTTGTTGATAGAGAAAGTCTGTCACTGAGATATACAAAGGAGAGAGACAAGTTTTACAGATTCTCCGCAGAGAGATTGCTCTGGGGTAGGATCCATCCGGCGGCAAGCAATTTGAGGCGGCAGTGGAGAGCGGAGCGACAACAAGTTTATTTTGTTACAGATTTTATGAGATGTGATCTACCGTGTGAGATGGAAAGTTTGATAACTAGTACTTCACTTTAGTTTTCTCTGTTAAAGTGTTATAATTGTGTTTGGAGTATTGGTGTCAGAGTCCCTGAAGCTGGGAGTTATTAACTTGATATATATTTTCTACGTCATTTTTGTCTGGGAACAGGCCTTTGGGCAGCTTTGTTGGTTCGCCTGATCTAGCAGCATTTTCTGTTGTTCAAAGTTGCGGAGTAAATTACTAAAAATCACCATATTTGTGGACCCCAAATCAAAAAACTACCACCATTCGATTTTTTTTGCAAAAACCCATTATTATTGTACTAACAATTTACAAAATACACTAATTGCGTTATTAAAGTCATCCTGAAATCTAAAAAGTGCTTACGCGCTTTTTAGTTGAACCGAGCGGCCGGCTCCGGGCCGCTCGATCTCGCTCGCGCATGGGGCAGGTGCCACCTGGTCGGAGGCTCACCGCTGCGCTACCCCTGCTCCTTGCCTTCCTCTCCATGTGCTGCGCTACCCTTGCTTCTTGCCTTCCTCTCCATGTTGGTGCTGGCATTAAATGTGTTCACACTAGTCCCATCAGATAAAGAAAACAGATCCACGTACTTTTATTTCGGGATTTCAAATTCTTTTAAAGCCGTATTTTTTAAACCACACGTCAGAATTCAGTTCCGTTCTCACCGTTGGATTCATTGCGACGAGATCTTTGAAACTAGATCCTGTATGGATATGTTTCGACGAATTTTTTTATGCCAACTTAGTGCTATATGATGCAACTAAAGTACTGCATTGTGCAACTTTAATACTACATGGTGCAACTTTTTTTAAAATCAGTTGGCTTATAATTTAGTCTAGTTGTACACACATTGATGTTTTAGGTGGCTTATAATGTAGTCTAGTTGCACACACATTGATGTTTAGTTGCCAGAAGGACTAGTTGCACACACACATGCTCAGTTGGCTTGTAATTTATTCTAGTTGCACACATATTGATGTTTAGTTGGCAGGACACTAGTTGCACACACATATGCGCAATTGACGCGGCAATGTAGTCTAGTTGCACACACATTGGTATTTAGTTGACAGGACTAGTTACACACATATATGCTCAATTGGCGCGGCAATGTAGTCTAGTTGCACACACATTAATGTTTAGTTGGCAGGACTACTGGCACACACATATGCTCAGTTGACGCGGCAATGTAGTCTAGTTGCACACACATTGATGTTTAGTTGGCAGGACTATTGGCACACACATATGCTCAGTTGACGCGGCAATGTAGTCTAGTTGCACACACATTGATGTTTAGTTGGCAGGACTATTGGCACACACATATGCTCAGTTGGCGCGGGAATATAGTCTAGTTGCACACACATTGATATTTAGTTGACAGAAAGACTAGTGGCACACACATATGCTCAGTTGGCGCGACATGTAGTCTAATTGCACACATATTGATGTTTAGTTAGCAGGTAGGCTAGTTCATCGAAACATACCATGCTAGTTTTGAAAAATATGCCGCGAAGATTCCAACGGTGAAAACAGATCGCAATTCCGATGTGCGGATTAAAAGTTATGTTTTTTTAAAATTCTGAAACCACAAATAAATGCATATGAGAACAAAGTGCATGCACCGAAAAATATGGCTATATTGCTATTTAATACATTGCGGGGAAATGAATTAGATGAGAAAGATTTCCTGATTAGGAAAGGAGACAAGAAATTTCCTTAAATAACCGGTCGCTCGCTAATTATACTGGGCGGCTGGGCGCCGGCTAGACGGGCGTCCTAAAGTCGTTTGATGCAAAAACTGACCACTCGGTCCCACCATTCCATACATGTGTGTGGCTCCAATGCAAGTGTATGCAGATCGAGGGGAAGGATCGTGGCGGCTGCGGAGGCGAGCGCAGGCGGACGAGCATGGTCAATTTCTCGAAATAGACGACGAACGGTGCCAGGTACAAATGCCGTGACTTCCACCAAGGCTACGCTCATGCCCAACATGGTCCGATTGGAGGAACCTCTTGTGGCGTGCACCATATACAGTATGTATGTAAGCTTCTTCTCCTCAAAGTTCACCAAGTGCAAGGGCTCGTCATTCCTCCTGCTGATCGCACCATCCAAAACCAAACAGAATTTATCATTTCACGCACGCAATTCAAATCACTGTTTGAGTTCTTGTCTTGCTAGCGTTTCTAAATATCAGACTGATACACACTCTAGTCTTGCAGTGATGATTCTGTTCAGCTCCCAACAACATCATGCTGCCTTTCTCTGAATGGTACTACAGTTTCATGTGATATGTTGTGTGACTCTGCTTTTGTACCTCTGTGTGGCTACTCAGTACGATTTGATGCATTCCGTCATACATTCCCATGCATTTTTTTGTCTGTCGTGCGTGCGTGCGTGTCAGTAAAGCATGAATCCATGCATAAACTGTCCTAAAGATCAGACTGTGATAGACATTCTTGAGTTATGGACGGGCCTGGCTAATAAATATCCTAACAAGGTTCCAAAATCTTTATGCCTATTTTTGTAAACACAAAGCATTTTACAACAAAATTCTGCCAATTTTCTCAGGGTTGAGAAACAAATTGCTTAACCCCATCAAGACCTACACTTGGCCATGAGCAAATGGTTCTCCGGCGAAACATCTGACGGAACATAGCTTACGAGGTCTGCATCTAGACCCTTGGATCTAAGCCATAGCAGCCTCCCGGTGTCAATGACATCTTTGCACATGAATCCCAGTGCGCTCCTCTCCACACCCGGTATACCGCGGATGATCCTCTCGACTCCAACGATCTCCGGATCAGGCTTCTCGGTTACTCTGTTCCTAGCCCAATAAAACGCGGTGTTAGAAACATGGCAAGCTTTCGGTGGGACCATTAATTGTGCCGAGGTTCCAGTGTTCCAGAATGAATGGTGCGGATTTTTTTTGTTGCAATGTTGTTAGTTTAAACTTTTGCTAGTCAAGATGTAATACAAGGGTGTTAAAGATCTAGATATTTTGCAATTAGCAAACTGTAGGGCAGAGTTAAGAAGACTTATTTAGTTGAGACTTGTTCTTATGATTCCTTATTTCACTTCACAAATGAATGACAAAGAGTTTTTGCAATGTTACTCGAGTTAAAACTTTTATTCCTTATTTCACTTCAGAAATG